CAATTGCTTTTGTGGGAATGTGGCAAAATTGGGAAGATGCAATTTCTATGATCTCTTACAATAGATGCCTACTACTTGAGGGGAGAGGAGGGTTGGAATGGAGTCTGTAACTCCAGGAATGGAGGTCTTGTGTGGATAGGTTCTCTTGGCATTTGGCTTGCCACTGAGCAGTTGGTTTGAAAACAATATTCACTACTAGGTGGTTTTTGTTTGTTTGTTTGTTATTTTTTAAGCAAAATGTAAGTGTTCCCTCAATACTGCCAAAACTTTTAAATTGCAACAGTATTATTGTTTTATAAGACAGTTTGAACAAAACTACTTGACATGTGAGACTTACAAATGGGCTTCATATAACTGCACTCCAGGAAACAGTTCAGTATGGTGCTATTTTTGTTTAGTGTTTAGCGCACTTTCAGGTAGGAAAAAGTAATTTTAAAGGTGTGCTTGTGAAACTTGTTGATGAATTGCTTAAATTCCTCTGAAGTTGATTAGAAATGTGGTTTGTGCTGAGGAAGAAACAGAACTTCTCCTTTCTTGGAATAAACAGCACTGAGGGTAAGATACTGAACATGTCTGCTTCTCACGAGGCACAAGTCAACATGCCCACAATATAGATGCATTGTGTCACTAGTTTGACAATTATTCCAATATGTAATTGGATATATAGAAACAAATGGATCTCTAAACTGTTTATCTTGGTTTGTAGTGTACTCTAATAAGCAATATTTTGGCTGTGAAATTCCTAACCTTTTAGAATGAAGATGGCCAATGACTAATCAACTCACTTTAATATGAAACCGTTTAAATTAGGATTAACAACTTTTTTTAATAAGTGCTTTTCACAACAGAATAATTCTGAGGTTATAATAAATCACTTATGCTTTTCAAAGCACTGTACAGAAACTGAGAAATCCTGAAATCCTTTGTTGCATGTTATTTCCCCACTTTATTACAAGGGACTAGTTTTCTTTGTGACATGGTGATGGAGTCTACATGATGAATACAAGTTGTTTTGCCTAGTGAACTAGATCATTCACCTCCATCCTTTTTCTGAATGGAAGAGGGGTGGAAGAGAGAGAACTTGAATTTTCTCATTATTTTGCTTTGAGCAATTACCACTCTGCACCTACAGAAGCAATTCTTACTTTCAGTGACATCTCCACAAAGTATTGCTCAGCCAGTTTTGATTCTATCCTATTTGTAGGAAGATTTGGCATGCACTTGAACTACAACATCCAGTTCTAGTTCTCCAAATTATAATTCATGAGACTTGGCATTTGTCATGGGTGGATGTATCCTGTTCAGGGAACAGGCTGGTAAGGTAAAAGGAGGCAGTGTTGCCTCCTTTAATATCCTCATCCTCTCCTTCTTCTTTCTACAGTAGGAGGTAACCTGTGTACTATCTGTGGGTTAAGGTAAAGGGGTATGGACAACAAGGGAGATGTCACAATCGGTATCTAACCTTCCCACACCAAGAGGAGAAGGTGGACAAGGCCCTCTTCAACTTAATTGAGGATTGTGCATTAAAGGATCTAGAGCCTTGGGGTAGGGAGGGGATGCTAGCTACTAAGACATCCTGCTAGGGTAGAAACAATGTACAGGCAGTCCAGCAAATAGTTTCTTCATTACCTATGCTAAATGTCCATCCCAAATGAGTGAAAACAACTGGGTGAAAGCTTTCCTTTTTTTTCCTGCTTATTAATAGGGAAGAACTAAGTAAGAATCTGAATGGACTCAGAGTAGGCCAGGAGCCTGTGGGATGCAAGTCAAGGGAGTGTGGAGAAGTGTAGGGGGATTGGCTGTAGGCTGACTATATTAAGGGCTTAAGATCATGGTTGCTCAATACAAAAGAATGATAGGAAGTTTGGCCAGAGATGAGCTTTGCTAAACAAAGAGCTCAGATATTCCTTGGAACTTGAAGGAATTTAGCCAAGGTTGCACTTTGATATCTTACGAAAGATCAGTGCAAGCAAGTAAGGACAATTGCATGTCTGTTGGGGAAATAAAAAAAGAAAAAATAGCAAAGCATCCTAGATATCGCAGAAAAATGGATGGGGAAAGATTCCTCTTTCCAAAAGGAGAAGGAAATTGGGTAGTGGACTGTGGGTGAAATATTTATACTCTACTATGGAAACCAAACTTTTTTTTCTTTCTTTAACTGACAAATGGTAAGGATAGGGAAGAGGATGATGTTCTTTCCTATACTAAATTGATCGGGTTAAACTTCAGATTGGCAGTGCTGAAGAAGACTTGGTCCTAGAATGTTCTTGGAGTTTGCTGAAGTAATTCTAGTAGTACAGATAATAGCCAGGTACTCTACAAGTCAGCTAGAACCTCACCTCCTTAGGAAAGGGAAAATATAATGCACTACTTCTTAGGAAAGGGAGGATCTATAGAATTATAGACTAGTTGGGCTAAGACCAATATGTAGATAACCTGTTTCTAAGCACCTAGAGTCTAACAAGGTATCTGGAATGGTAGAAGGACTTGCTCTTAAGTGCTTGCTTGAGTTCCTTCAGTGACCAGATGATGGGCTTTGTGAGTGCGATTTACAACCCCCATAAAGAAAAGCTTTTGAGATTTTTACCATGGCATTCTCATAAGTAAGCAAAGAACTTACAGTCCTGATAAAAACTATAGTAAAGCAGATGTGGAATGGTTTAGTAGAAAGCAACAAAAAGTAAAGGTCTAGAAGACATGACTGAAGTTTAGAAGAAGTAGCATTGTTCTCTCTGGAGAGAAGGCTACTGAATGGGGGATTTGGGACTTCGGATACAGAATTAATAATCCTCTTTAGAACCACCCTTTCTTCTATGCAAGTAGGGAAC